CCCCCTCTCCACCAGGAGTTCGTCCTGGATCTGCATATGTTCGTGAAAAATCATTGTGTTTCTTTTTTCACCAGCCAAAAAAGTATGTGAAAATAAAAATTTTTATATTTTTCTAACTTCGTTCTTTTTTCCTAACTTCGTTTTTTATTTTTCTAAAGATACTCACTTTTTCAGACAAGCATTCCAACAAATCTTTGATGTAGGCTCGCATATCCTGATATAGCTGGAAGCGTTCCTTGGTGTTCGGCTCTTCCATCATCAGTTTATCAAGCATTTCCTTATTTTCTTCAATCTGATCGTTCGCTTTTTGCAGTTCTGCTTCACGAGCATTCAACGCTTCGCTGTGATCTTGCCGCCTGCAATTATCAGCAAAATCAGTTTTCACTCGCCGCACAACATTAACTTGGTATTCCTAGAGCGACTCTTCGGGCGATCTTGGTATCAGTTAATGCTTTTTTCGAGTCCATAGTATTTTTTTTACAACTAACCGTTGTCGAAGTTTCAAAAGAATCGGATTCATTGATACGGCAATTGTCGTCTGATCAGGAATTCCACCTGAAATGATCAGAAAGCATGTGCAAGAAAATCCAACTTACAGAACCACGATTCTTACTCAAAATTACAGAATCACGATTCATACCCAACATTACAGAACCACGATTCATACCCAATATTACAGAACCACGATTCATACTGAACATTACGGAATTATGATAAGACAAAACAGCTACTGGCAACATACCTCATTGTATTACACTCAAATAGCACTATATATATATATTTTTTTTCTTGAAACGATCACTCTTCGGTGCCTTCCCCGCTCCCTCTACCTCCCGCCCCTCCCGTCTTTCCTACCGTTGTAAAACAGCAAATAAAAAAACTCCTTGAAAAATCAGCGAAATTTTTACCTTGCGATGCCTGAAGCGCGTCGATTTCCGAAAAATCTATGTCCATTTCCATGGGTAGTTGCTCACGATTCTCGTCCGGTGAAGGCAATTCTACGGTGCTGGTTTTTATCACCCTCATCACTTCCTCCATTCGGGCACGTTCACGTTCCAACATTTCCACCTAAAAAAAAAATAAATGGCCATCGCAACGACTGCTTGTGCGAAGATGCGTTTTTTGCATAATTCCTTGCAGATTTCTGTCGCTAACGACACTGGTTTTTCCGACAGACGCTTCTAGCTAAAAGAATTGAGACTAGCCGCTAGAACTGTCAGGAAACATCTCCACAAAATTATAGCTTTCTAGCTTTTCAGGTTCCCGAGTTAACCACTTATCTGAAAAAAGATTTCACCGACTCGTACGTGAGAACCACACGGGTAGGAGCGGTTATTTTGAGGATGGGGGCCACATGTGCATATAGATTAAACTCCCAAT